AATGATTACAAAATTAGAGTCTTAAAAGTCATTCTTTGTTGGAAAATGATTACAAAATCCTTTGTGGTCATTACTTACCTTCTTACAATCAAATTCCCTAATTGTGTAAAATAAAAAAATAAAAAAACCTTGCCTTAGAAGTTTGCATTTTCTTCATCTAATTTCACTCCTATTTATTGAGTTGTCAATCTACCTTGTTGGACAAGTATTATAATTTTTTGGTGGTCACTAATGCTATGTTTAGTTGGAGGCATGGATTAGGGAGGCATGGATGAATATTTTCATGTTTGGTTGAAGGGAAGGGAAGAGAGGGAGGAAGCAAGGAGGGAAGAGTGGAGAGAAAAAAAGGATAACTACCAAAATTTGTTATAATTTTCATTTTTATCCTTCCTAAAAATTTGTCAAAACCCTACTGCGTTAAACAACTATAGTGATTGTTTTGCCGGCGCTATAAACTTCATTGAAGATAGATTCTTGAAGCTGATAAACTTCGTAGAAGATAGATTCGTGAATAGCAACTTAGGTACCTTTCCTGTTTTCTACACTTTTAATTTTATATATATATATATATATTTCCGTTACAACCAACCCCAAGCACAAGATTTAATTACCCAGTAGAGTTTCATCAGTATAGAAACTTTACACAGCTGTTTCTTTTGTAGATAAAGTATTGTCAATTATTAATTACCCAGTAGAGTTTCATCAATATAAAAACTTTATTAAAATGAATCTCTCCATAACTAAATCATTTTTTACTAAAAATTTTCTCTACCTACATTTTCTGATATTTATCTTCATTTAATTGGTTTGTTTGCTACTTTCTTGTCCGAGAGGACTTATTTGACTTCCTCAAACATCTTTATCTTATTATCTATGTATTTACTTATATAAAAATAGTCCTTCAAAATCTTAGTCACCTAAGGAGAAGGCTAAAGTGATTTGAGGCATTGATATTGGATTCTAGAAGTCCATTGATTACTATTTTAATTGTTGCATTCAGATTGGTCTGGACTACAGTTGTTTCATTATATACATACATTTAAATTGCTTTGTTTGATCATCTCTGTTATTTATATTTTTTCTTATATGATGATTAACTAATTAGAAAAGTTTTCTCATGACTAGTTAATGGTTTTATTTGTTTATTAATGATAAAATTTCTCTCATGCTACACTTTTATCATTATGTTAATATATGGTTTAGTGAGTTAATATATAATTATATATATATATATATATATCAATGATAATTGGCTAAAAAAAATTAGGCGACCCATCAGTGACTAATTATTTTAAATTTTAAATTTATATATATATACACACACATTTGCTAGATGGAAATAGAAGGAGATTTATATGAGAGTGGGGATAAGAATGAGATAGATGAACTGCAAGACTGTGAAGAAGAAAATTCGGTGAAAATGTTGTAGAATATTTAAATAGCTGGGAATGAAGACGAAAGATAGAGGTGGTTTAACTTATTTGTTATGTTGTTCGCATCCTTGACATGATGGGAATGACATTCCATTCACAGCATGTGAATAGGGCAATAAATGATTTTGATGGGGAAAAACTTAGTGCGCGTGAACAACTAATGAAAAAACTTGCTTCTAATGAGAATTGTCGAGATATATTATGTATGGGACCATATGCATTTTCTAAATTGTGTAACATACTTCGTTCTACAAGGACAATAGAAATGTTTTGGTTGAGGATAAAGTAGCAAAGTTTCTTTATATCTTGTCGCATAATGTGAAGAACCGCGCCATTTAATTCTTCTTTATTCAATCTGGCGAGACCATTAGTCTCCACATTTTCATGATGTGCTAAAAAAGCAATAATCAGTTTAGAAGATTTGTACCTACAACAGCCAAGAGGTTCCAAAGTCCCTCCACAAATACGCCATAGTAGCAAATTTTATCCCTATTTCAAGGTAAAAAATTTAATTTATATGATTAATATTATCTTTCAAATATTTTCGACATATAGAATAATAATAATAATAACTTTTTATAAATTCAGGATTGTTTAGGAGCAATAGATGAGACTCATATTCATGTGAAAGTATCTAAAAAAGATGCACCAAGATATCGAGGAAGAAAATACTATCCAACACAAAATGTCCTACCGGCATGCTCGTTTAACATGAAATTTACATTTGCCTTGCCTGGGTGAGAAGGAACGGCATCTGATTTAAGGGTCATAAAAAATGCTCTTTTAGAACGAGAAGAAAAACTAATAATCCCTGAAGGTAACTTATAGTCATTTGTATCAAATTTATAATTATATAAGTTAAAAATAGTAACTTGTAATGTTTTTATTTCTTCTAAATAAATATTATTTAGTGGATGGAGGTTATATGTTAACGAGTGGACTAATAACTCCATATAGAGATGTTCGGTATCATTTGAAAGAATACTCATCAAGTGCACCAGAAAATGCTCAAGAATTATTTAATCTTCGACATTCTTCCTTGCGCAATGTAATTGAAAGAGTATTTGGTGTGCGTAAAAAACGATTTCCAATTATTTCAACAGGTGCATAGGCTTATTACCTAGTTGATACAGTTACAAAGATTGTCTTAGTATGTTGTATCCTACATAATTATCTAATAGGTGTAAATCCTAATGAAAGATTGATTGAAGAAGTTGATCGAGACCTCATGAATATGGATGTACATAATGATGAGGAGAGACACACACTAACTAATGATAACGAAGCTAAGCAAGGATCAATATAAAGAATGCCATAGCAGCTATAACATGTGGGAGGACCATGAACTATGATGTTTCTATTTTTTCTTTATATTTGTTACAGTATTTTCATGTCTTTAATTTATTGAATCACGATGACATTTTATTTCTAATTACTATATCCTATATGTTAGATGCCTATTTCACATTAAAAGATGTAATTTTGTGGGTTTATATTTTTACTCTTTTTTTCTTCTTCTTCTTTTTTTTTTTTTGAAATATGTGCTGTAGAGAATTTATTTTTATATGATATAAAAAAATTACAGGTCGTGGAAATGAAAAAATCAAATAAGAATGTGATTATGAATGATATTAAGAAAGATGCAATAAAGTGGATTGAAGAAATGGATGATATATTACTTGATGCAGGAACTTTCACATCTACTCCATATTCAAATGTTGTGAAGATATGCTCTCAAAAACTTGGCTATCCGTTTGATAAAGATCACGTGAAAAATCGTATGGAAACAATGAAAAATAATTTTAATACATGTTATGACTTGTTCAAAAATTTAAGTGGGATATCATGAAGTCCAGAAACAAAACTCTTTGAAGCTGAACAAGAAGTATGGAAGGCCCTCGTAGAGGTATGCAGTCATTTTATTATTTATTTTAATTATTTTACTTTTAGTTTATTTAATCGTTATATATATTTGAACGATGCATAATATATGTTTCTTACTTTTAAGCAAAACCATCACCTTCAAAATGGAGGCACACCAAAATCAATCATTATGGTAAGTTGTTCGAACTTTTTGCAAAAGATAGAGCAACTAGTTAAGGTGCTATAAGTGAAAAGGAAGAGAAGTTCACAAATGAGGAATAGAGAATGGTACCTCAAGTAGTAGTCAAAACAACAACCATGAGTCAAATTCACAATGTGGGGGTCCTTCAAAGGGTTCAAAAATAAAAAATGTAATGGCTGATGTGTTTGAGAGAGAGATTGAAGTTATTGGATCTGGAATTAACAAAGTAGCCAAGGCAATTGAAAAAGGAAATCTTGTTGCTGAGAGGGGACTCGAAATTGCAACAAAGAGAGTTGTAATAACTGAGCAAGCACAAGCTAATTATCACCCAGATGAAGAATTATTTGTTGAACTAATGAGAATTGAAGTTCCTTATAATAAACAATTGGATGCATTTGTATTTCTTATCAAATACCCTTAGCACAAAAGCACATTTTTTGCTATTCCAACTGAGAGGCATCTGGAATTGCTTAATATGATGATGGACGGAGAAAATGACTCTTGAAAAGTCAATAATTTTTTGTTCATGCTGTCTTTATTTTTTTTTTTTCTTGCACTACATTTCAATTATTGTTATATACTTTATGTGTTAATTTTGGTTGAAGAATTGGTTTCTTCATTTACATAAATAAAATAAACTGATCGTTCTTTTAGGACTCATTAAATTTGATTCAAGATGTTCTTACATTGTTCTCTTTCATTTTTGTGGCATGAAAATATTAGTAAATACAAAGTATAGGAGTCATTTTTCTAATGATAGCAAAAGGTTCAAACATATCTTATGAAATGTTTTACCCGGTCTTATAAATTAGTAATTGCTAGGCATTTTTCTGGGCATTTTTCGAATTTTGAAGTATTCCTTTAAAAAAAAATATAAAAAAAAATTTGTTTGGTATGTATAAAATATTCATTTTAGACAACTTGTTAGTAGAGATCAATATTATTAAATAAATTTAAATTAATTAATTTTAGAACTTTATATAATAAGGGTATATTAGTAAAAAGTATATAAAAACTATTATTTCTTTCCTTCCAACAAAAAAAAAAAAAAACTAGCACTCTATTAATCCTTTCTGCCAAACAAAAAATGAAGGAGACATTTTCCCTTCCCTAAAGATGACTCATCCATTCCTCCTCCTCTCTCTTCCATTCATTTTTTCATCCCTCCAATAAAACAGAGCAAAAATAACTTATTAAGTTATTACAATTAAAATTTTTAATTACCAAAAAAGAAAAAAAACCTACAAATCTACAATTTTATGAAAGCAATTTCTAAAATAAGAAAACTATTATCACACATCAATCATTCTTCTTAAAACTGCAACCTTTGAGACACAAGCCTAACAGTTTGACTTCTTAAAATGTTTGGACTCATAAACCCTTTGATAAAGGATTAGTAAAAATATATACTTTTATGAATGAGTGAAAGAGTCATGTTTCAAAAATAAAAAGCAAAAATAAAAAATAGTATATGTGACGTTACCATACAAAACATATAACGTAAATATATTAGTACAATGCAAGGGGAGAAATCAAACTTTATGGATCACCAAAAGTGTCCTAAAAATTTTGCAGAACGATAACCTATAAATAGAAAATCTTAATCAGGTCTTTCTTCTTCCCCACCATCAAAAGACAACTAGCTCTCTCTCTCATACAACGCGCGCGCGCGCGCGCACACACACACACACACATATATACATATACATATACATATACATATACATATACATATATATTCGTTTTTCAGTTCTATCCCTTCCTTGTCCTCCATCAAGGGAGCGAAAGTCCTTCTCTCTCTCCTCATTCACGATCATAGGAACCTGCATTTTTGCGAGGTATATTCCTATTCAGGAGAGGTGAAATTTGTCTTGAGCTCCATCGATTCTAGGGATTCGGCGAGCGGCGGCGATGGAATCCGAGGATGACATGCATGATCTGATCGACGCCGAGTCCCTCGACGATGACTTCTACAGCGGCGAGACCGCCTTGTATTCCGACGATGATGAGGCCGACTACGACTTCGATAATGACTCCGACGGTTCTGACAACATCATATCTCTTCGCAGCCAGGTATTTTTTGCATTGCACGTCCACAACCACAGCAATAATAATGTATGATCAAATTGTTAGTTTAGTAAAAAAAAAAAAAAGATTAATTTTTTATTTTTATTTTTATTTTTATTTTTGTGTTAATTTGGTTAATCAATGTGTTAGTCATGAAGAACTGAGAAATTTTATGGTTTAACTTGATCGCTTTGATTCGAATTCGTTCTGTGTGAGGTATGGTTGATGTTAGGGTTATGGGATGGCTATTGGATGCAAGTTGGTTTGAATTGGCACCTTCTGTTTAAGTTGTTGATTGTGGTTTAGATTATCAGGGATGTAGCCAGGAAAACATTCTTTAATTTTTCTAGTAGTAATGGGCCATTCTTTGTTGCAATGGTAAAAGCTCATGCTGATAAATGTAAGAATGTGGGTTTCAAGTCAATCATTTTGTGCAAAATAATGAAAAAATTTTAGGTTTTTAGTGGTCCGTGTTAATTTCTTTCTTATTTTATTTTATTATATTTTATCAGAGCCATGAATTTGTTTGAGTTTGTGTGCAAAACTTCATTTTAAAAATATTGGGACATTGGGTAGAAATCATTGGTATTTGAGTTTTCTTAGTTGCAGAATATATATATATATATATATATATATATATATATATATATATATATATATATTATTATTATTATTAAGTGGGGGGAGGGGTGGGGAGAGCAAATAGATTCAATAACATGGGGTCACAACCATGCACATTCAATGTATGGAAACAAAAAGGAAAAGAAAAAGAAAAGCCAACTGTACAAACTATAATTCATCTCTCTCCGAAATCAACAAAAAAATCAGATGAAAACGAAAAATTCTTGGTGAGCCAAAATCATAAGGAGCTTGGTATCAAGTGCTTCTCAGGCAGTTATACTCCTTCAAGAAAGCACCTATGGCACATCACCTGTTAGCTTGAGCCTTGAGTAATATCTCCTGTCAGCCTTGAAGAGAGAGGTTCAAAGTTCATGCTCCATTTGGGACAATTTATGCAACTTATAAAGACGTAATAAATGAAGAAAGTGGCTATGTTTGCTCTTTGCATATGCTCCACCAGAGTCGTGTCCAGGATCTAGCCCTCTTGCAAAAACCCTCCAGCTCGCTCGTCCATTAGGCATGACCCAGTGAATCCTAATTGAAGATTAAAAAAGAGGCCTCTAGCCACCGTCAATGGATTAGCAGAAGGATAACTCTCTCTTCAGCATTCTTCCACACACAAATCAAATGAATCAATAGAGAAGGATTTGCCCTTGCTCACCAGGTTTTTGTAGGGTTTTAGACCATCCAAAGGACATAACTTTAAACACACTTCTTGCTTGCTAAGTTTCTTCCCCAAGGAACCATGGCGATACCCCTCTCTCTCTTGCGCTATATATAAGTGTTACTCCTCAAACTCCCTCTGCACAAAAAGCCATCCCAAGAAGATCAATAGCTGAAGACTTGATAACCCATTCCAAGAAGATCAATAATTGAATACTTCCTCCGTCCCAATTTAAGTGTCGCTTTTGGGGATTACGAATTTTTAAGGGGACATGTGGGACATGCATTGTCTCCCAGAAAGTTACTAAATTGCCCTTTTAAGCTTTGAATATTCAAGTTTAAAATTTAAAACTCAAAGGACATAGATGGAAAGATGTGAAATATATTGTTTGAAAAAGGAAAGTGGACAATTATTTTGGGACAGATAAAAAAGGAAAGCATGACACTTATTTTGGGACAAAGGGAGTACTTGATAACATCAAAATATGAGTGCGGGCTTTTGGACTGTTATGGAAGTTATCTAGTAGCTAAAGTATCAGAAAGTAGGCTGGCTGAATGAGGGAAAAGTCATGACAACCTAGGAGCAACAAATGAAATCAATAAAGCAGTTTCACACTCAATCCTGCAAAAAATCTCAGGTTTAGAGTTTACCCATTCCACAACAATACTCTTGTGTCCACTCCCATTAGGGCAACAAAATAGATGATCTTTTTCCCAACAACATTAAATCAATAGTAAAAGTAAGTCGATCCCATCCTTTGATTTTCTAGAGTGCTCTTGTTCAACAGTAAAATTTAAAAGGTCAAAGAAGCAGGTGTTGAAATTGACTTCTTATGGCCGAGACTGGGACTCGGTCCAAGTCTGTTGCGACTTGGCCTATACAGAGAACTATATTTCCACGTCCTTAAGAGCTATTGAGGTTGGTCATCCTAAAACCGGGACTAGATGAAGTAGATATCATAGTCACGAACTAGGGGGCATGAAGAAGCGTTTGAAATTCCTAACAACTGGATATGCAGGTGGAAGGAGTGGGAATGGATAAAGTTGTGATGTGTGGCAAAACCCCTTTGATCCCCGGATCTTTTAGCAGATAAAGCCAGCAAGTCTTAATTTTAAAGTTAATTTGATAGTTACTGACAATTTTGGTGTTAAAGCATGACCGATTGTAGTTTCTCTTTATTTGAGTTTGAGTCTTGTTCAAGATTGGATGAGCTTCATGAAGACTAGTTGCAAGTTAGAGAATGATCTCAATATCAAACTTGTTTAACCTTTTTTTTTGCACTTGGAAATTGGTCCTTGGTTTTGATTTCATACTTGTTTAGATAAATTTGACCAAATGTTTAAAATTGGTAGTTAGCTTCATAATATGACCATCACGCTCTGGGCCTGAAATTGTTTAAGATGCACATCTTGAGAAATGAAAAACTGGTGCGTGTGTTAGTGAGCTCTTATAATCTGCCTACTTGCTTGGGAGCTGCAAGCCAGTCAGTCACCACATTTACTATGATTTTCTGTCTAGCACTTATTAGTCTTCCTGCTATTGAAACTTAAAAGATGAACTATTAGTAGTCATTTGTGGAAGTCAACTCTAAATTGTTTTACTTCTATTTGTTTTTCCCTGATAATCCTCCTCTGAGTCAGGCATAAGCTATCTTATTGGCTTAATTCCCTACTTCGATCCTTTATTGGACAGTTCTAACTACCTTATCTCCAATACATTTGTGTACTGGCCCACCTGCATGGACTCACCCAATTAAGTATTATTTTAACTCCCCATATTACTATTGTTCTAAAAGATATTAATTATAAGCATGTCCATTTCTTATCTCAGCAAAACTACAATGTCTTGAGTGAAGCTGATATTCGTCAACGTCAAGAGGAAAACATTATGGAGATATCTGCAGTGCTTTCTGTTTCCACGGTTGCTGCTAGCATCCTACTTCGTCACTATAATTGGTAACTTTGTTGTTCATACTGTATTTCCTATTGTAAGATTTACTTTTAGATGACCGCTTTAGCATCTTTTGTTTTACTTTTGTGCTTGGTTTGAATGAGCATTATGCATTATAAGCATTTTGGTTCATATTGATTGTTTCTACTCCACAATTTGAAAAGTGAATTTATCGTCTATTAGATCTCAAGGTGTACAATGCTTTCATTTTTTTTTTAATTCCATGTTCTTTTGGGGTAGGCTATACATTATGTTGCATTTTCGTCGCTTATTGTTCTAAAACCCTTTGCTCCCTCTGGATACACAGGAATGTTAGTAAAGTGCATGACGAGTGGTTTGCAGATGAAGAAAGAGTCCGCAGGACTGTTGGCTTGTTGGAGAAACCTGTTCCACTGCCAAATGATGTAGAAGTAAGTAATCCACATTTTAGGAGTGATTGAACTTTCTGCATTTATGCATGGGAGCTGGCGTGTTGACTAAAATGTTTACTTTGGTTACTCTCTGTACCATCTTATTTATGTGAACTTCTTATGTGTGTGCTCATGCTGATAGCTGACTTGTGGGATCTGCTTTGATACCTGTCCCCGTGATATGATGAGTGCTGCTGCTTGTGGTCATCCTTTCTGTGGTGCATGCTGGCAAGGTTTGTTTCAATGCACCGTTATCATATTTTAATATTTGAAAGAGCAAGTCACACATCCACTTGATTCTAGTTTTTGGCATGCTCCCTTTCCTTTTAACACATAAATCTGTAGTAGATGTAAACTTCAAAACTAATCATTTTAAAATTAGTTGGCATGAATTTTTACTCTCCTCTGTGTCAATAATTTTATGAATCAAAATTAGCTCAGGTTATACAAGATTTAAGCACTGTGCTGATTTTCAAGCCTTTTTTTTTTAATTTAATTTTATTTATTTTTCGAGGGGGAATGTGAGACTTTATCTTTTGGAAAATTTAAAGGTTTGTATTGTTTGTTATGTCGTTTTAGTGAATCTAATTTACCCAAGATAAAAATAAAAATAAAAAATGAAACCATCAGTCTCTTAATGTGAGTGTTTGGTTGGGTTAGAGTGGGGCTGTCTTGATAGAAAGAGCCACATTCATGTAATGCATGCTCTACATGTAGGTTTTTGTAGGAAAGGAGAGATCTTGGTGCCTTGGTTCTGGCATTATTGTCATTCTATGAGAGAGATGCTGTAAATTCTCATGGCTTTAGACTTAAGAGGTAGAAGTCAGCTGGTTTCCTAGATCTGCCAATGAGTGGGCTGGTTTCTTGGCTGATAAGGGAGCAGTCTCGAGGATGCCAGTTAGGGTTAACTTCCACCCAAAGCTTCCTTAGTGGTTCCATTAAGGCAAATGCTGAGTCTGTTTTTAATCTTTCATTCTCCGCACCTCGTGCAGGTGGGATTAACACTTGGGTAATGGCTATCCCTGTGTAAAAAAGGAAGTTTGAGTTAACTAATTTATCTTGTAGGTCTTCTATCACATATTATAACTCTGAAGTCAAAACCGATTGAATTGAACTTCCATTCTTTCTTACGTGAGGAAGTTGATCATTAATAAGAATAAAAATGCTTCTAGATTTTGAGGCCAGCGGTATCTTTCCTCTCTACCACATGGTTGAGGTTAGTTGTACGTGTGACTAACTTTCTTCTATATCATTGAGGTATCTTTTGTTTATATTGTGGCTATTTGTCTCCTTTAGATCTAATTAGTGTGGCTTTGGAAAATTAATAGCCGAATCTTGTGGGCACCTTGGAGGATTGAGAACCTTGGCTCTGTAGAGGAGGTAGTATATAATTATTTATTTCCATTTTCTTTTTCCGAGCTACAATATGTAACAAAAATGAAAGAGTAGGAGTGTTGATGAGAACTTTAAAAAACAATGCTTTCAGTTTAAGCTTGCTCCTTGGTTTTAAAAAACAGCGGGCAAGGTGGTTTCATGTGAAAGTATTATTTTAGATACTTTGACTCAACTCTGGGTACATATTTTATAATTATTTTTGCTTTGTATTAATTATATTTGGGTTTTCTCTGTGTATTAGCTGTATAAATATATTCTCGATGCAGTTTCAATGCATTTCAAACTGACGACTACACGAGTTTCTTTCTTTCCATTCTTTATGTATTGATTATTTGTTTTTGTCTTGACAATATTTTGTATACAGTTTTTATTTACCTCTGTTTTCCAAAATATTTAGCAATTGACAAATTTACATCAGAATACTTTATTTCCTGCCTGAAATTTCAATTCTAACAGTTGAAAATTCGTTCCTTGTCGATATTCTGTCTTCTTTAAAATGAAAGTTTTTTAAGAAGTTCAGCAGTTGACTAAATCTCATCAGAATATTTTTTTGCTGTCTGATTATTTCATTTTTCACAGTTACAACTTCTTTTCTTTCACACGTTCTCCCTCTTTTTTTATGATGAACTTCTTCAGTTAGTTTTGAGTTTCGTCTTTGTTTACTTTACATTCTGTTTTCCTCCCCTACCGGTTGCAGGTTATATAGGCACATCCGTTAATGATGGTCCTGGATGTTTGATGCTGCGATGTCCTGATCCATCTTGTGATGCTGCTGTTGGCCAAGACATGATAAATCTATGGGCATCCGATGATGATAAAGGGAAGTATAACCGTTACTTCCTGAGATCATTTATTGAAGACAATAGAAAGGTAATTCAATGTATGAAAGTTTGGATGAAACATATCCCCATTTGACCTGAAAAACACTGGACTAGCCTAATTATTTCTATAGAAGTTGTCAAAAATAATGGTATTGTTTTTTTGTTTTTGAAATTTTTTTTTTTTTTTTTTGGGGTTCAAATGGATTTCTGTAAAAAGTGAACCTCTTTAAAATTTTGTTGGGCAAAAGTTAGTAAACCTTGCTTTTCTAGTTGACTTTGCACAAAATTAGGTGGAATCTTAAGTTGTAAATATGATAATCATGATTTTGAAGAAGGTCTAGGTCGATGCTCATAATTATGATGGTTAAACCCTAATGCACTCCTAGACTAGTTAGCGTACATAGAAGATTACTTTTTTTTTTGATAAATAATAATCGATTAAAAAGCGTTCAAAAGGGGAACGCGTCCCATAACAAGAGTGGGACCGGGTTCTAAGGACCTAAAGAATCCAAAAAATTAACTAAGTCATCAGAAGAGGAGCAAGAACTCCTCTTCACGTAACTAAAAATAGAACGAATAATATGAAGTTTCAGCGTCGCCATGGACGACTCTTTCCCCTCGAACATTCTACTATTCCTCTCCTTCCAAATGCACCACCAAACACAATGCGGAACTGTCCTCCAATAATTGCGAACACTGCTTCTCACGTGGCATCCCCTCCATGCACTAATCAATCCCTTGGAAGATCCAGGCATTACCCAAAACATACCAAATAAACCAAATATGAGGTTCCAAAGTCGTATACCACTGGACAATGCAGGAGGATATGATCCACTGACTCACCATCTCGTTTGCAAAGGCAACACCAATTAACAATACAATTGCCTCTCTTCCTCAAATTGTCAATCATCAAAATCTTTCCCTATACAACTGTCCAAACAAAAAATGCCACTCTAGGAGGAGCAGTAGAACGCCATATGGTCTTCCATGGAAATTCAATGCCTACGAAGTTGGTTAGGCATCGAAACAGGGATTGTACTTCAAATCGACCATGGGATGAGGGTATCCACCTAATATCATCACTACCGCTGCCAACTGCCTCCTGTTTATACATGTCCAGAAGAACACATACCTCGTCCATGTCCCAATGCTGAAAGGAATGCCGAAAGCTCATATCCCATGTAATCCCACTACTATCAAGCCAATAGCAGTCAACTACGCAGCCATGTCTATCGGTTGCGATACTGTACAAACTTGGGAAGGTGCAAGATAACGGCTGGTCACCGTACCATAAATTCTCCCAAAAACGAACATATCTACCGTCATGCACCTTGAATCTAATATAGAAAAAGAAAACATCCCAACCCTTCCGAATGGATTTCCACACACCAACTCCTCCCGCAATAGAGACTGGACGAGTAGACCACCCGTCACTCTCCTCCCCAAAACGACATGAAATGAGCCTTCTCCAAGGGCGATGCCTTTACTTACCGAATCTCCATAACCATTTACCCAAGAGAGCTTGATTAAAAGGAACCAACCTCCGAATACCTAGGCCACCCAACTTAATGGGCTTGCAAACTTGATCCCACCTGACAAGATGATACTTAAACTCTTCGCCCCTTCCACCCCAGAGGAAATCCCTTTGGATCTTTTCAATCCTTTTAGCAATAGAGCATGGGATTTGGAACAAGGATAAGAAATAAGTAGGCAAGCTCGAGAGAGTACTCTTTATGAGAGTAACTTCCCCCACCCGATAGATATTGTTTCTTCCATCCTTCCAACCTCTTAACGTATCTATTTATCATAGGGTCCCAACTCCACACCCTTCTAGAGGAGACCCCCAAAGGCAGACCTAAATAAGGAATATGGAAAGAACTTACCCTACGCCCTAGAACTACAGCTAAGGAGGAAATGTCCTGAACATCCCCAACTGGAACAAGCACACTCTTAGCCACATTGACCTTCAGTCCAGAAACCGCCTGAAAACAAACCAGAATGCACCTCAAATATCAAAGTTGAGACACATCAGCATCACAAAAGACCAAAGTATCATCTGTAAACAGGAGATGAGAAATCTCCTTTTGATGAGCTAAATCTCTGCCCACCCTGAAGCCCTTGATAAGAATGAGATCCTCTGCCCTCCTCATAGATCTACTTAAGCCCTCCATTACGACAAGAAAGAGAAAAGACGACAGGGGATCACCTTGTCTCAATCCTCTAGAGCACTCGAAAAAACCAGCAGGAGATCCATTCACAAGAACAGAGAACTTTACAGACGAAAGACAAGCCTCTATCCATTTCCTCCATCTACTACCAAACCCCATTCTCTGAAGTAAGTACAATGGGAAATTCCAATTAACATGATCATAAGCTTTTTCAATGTTAGGTTTGCATAAAACTCCAGGGACTCCACTTAGCAATCTAGAATCCACACATTCGCCTGCAATAAGAACTGAGTCAAGAATTTGCCGTTCTCCGACAAAAGCATTTTGGGAATCCGAAATAATACCATCCATGACATCCCTTATCCTAAGAGCGAGAACCTTAGCAATAAGCTTGTAAATGCAACCCACAAGACTAATTGGTCTAAAATCCTTATTATCGGAAGCACCACCCTTCTTAGGGATGAGGGCAATGAAAGAAGCATTTAACAACTTCTCAAAGACTCCATTAGAATGAAACTCCTGAAAGGTACCCATCACCTCATTTCTCACCACCTCCTAGCTTTCCAACAGAAATGGCATAGTGGTATGACATGTCATAGTTTGCCAAAATGAAGTTAGTTGGTCCTGCCAGAGTTATTAACAACGAGTAAAGATGAACTTTGAGAGCTTCAGATATATATTACATTGTGGGCTAAGATGAAATAAAAGTTGAAGGATATATATATCTTCCCACTTACTATAGGAGACAATTGTTAGACCAGTGGATGAATTTGAGAAAGATGTCTTCTAGTGTGTCTTTTTATCTAACCTGATTCAAGGAATTTTTGATGAGATATGACGTAGATGAAACAATTGCATTCATTAACATGTTAGAGAAGTCCTACCGTGAGACATCAAAGATAGAGAAATTCCTTTTGCTTCCTAACCCAAGGCAAGTGGCTTCTCAAGCTGGGGAGCCTTAGTAAATGAGATCAGTGTCTTTTGAGAGAATTTGTGCACTTACTCAATCAGGATTAGTTACCTCTAGAGGTAACGACAATCCTAGATAGAGAGCTAATAATTCCAAGCGTCAAGAAGTTTCATTTCTTGCTCTTGACAAGGTGGATCTTCCATCTAGTGCTTTCATTGTCATAGCAAGGGTCATATTGCTTTCACGTTGTCCCATCACAAATTAACCACAGATACTGAGGTAGTTGATACTTCAGAAGGGGAATCTTTTGATTTAGTGATTGGGTCCTCAGAGGACTCCTAGATTCTGGAGTGGAAAGCAAAAAGTCTTGGAAAATGATGACATCCATATCAAACTCATGGGGTGTATCCTATCTACTGTGGAAAAAGATGTTTGTAGTTGCAGCAGTATTTTTCGTACTTCTCTTAAATGCGTGGATAAAGTTTGCAAGATCACTGATGGAGGAACCTCAATGAATGTTGTTTCAAAATCAGGTGTTGCTAGGATAAAACTTTAGCTTAAATCATAATCGTTGCTATACAGGGTAGCTTGGTTAGATAATCTTTTTATCAGTTTCAGAGATGTGGTTGGTTCCTATCCTGATGGATTATTCAGATAAGATTTGGTGTAATGTTTGACCCATGAATGTACCCCGCGTACTCTTTGGTTGCCCTTCGTTTTATGAATTTGATGTGACCTCTCATAGTAGAGAGATAATCTATGTGTTTAAGGATGAGGACGAATCCATCTTGTTAAAACCTGCAAAGCCATCATAAAAAGATAGTAAACCAAGAGATAGTTAATCTTCACAGCCTCTTTATAAAAAAGGGTAAACTACAATGACCTCCCTTGAGGTTTGGCCTAATTGCAAATAAATATGAGGTTTGCATTTTTTTTGCAACATATCCCCCTGAGGTTTGCCCCATTTTGCAAAGACCTCCCCTCGGTACAACAATTGTCAGAAAAATGGTTAAAGTGACCAAAATGCCCATTAACTAAGTGAAAAGACTCTATTACCCTTATAGTGTCATCAAATTACAAAAAAAAATTGTTTTAAAGGACAAAATTACCCTTCTCTCTCCCTCTCTCTTACTCACATATATATACATAAGAAAATTATATATACATTTATATATATGTATATATATACTTATATATAGTTTATTGATCTTACCCACATATATATACATAAGAAAATTATGTATACATATATATATGTATATATACTTATATATAGTTTATTGATCTTACCCACACAAGCACAGCCCACTGCCAAGAGTGGAACCCATCAGACTCTTCCCAAAAAAGCACACATCAAAGTAATATACACATATAATTAGAAAGAATAATAAGGAAAGGTTAAAACTTTGCTTGTTACCAAATATATATATCAATATATATATTTATATTTTTCCTAGTTGGCACTCACACACATTGCCTCTTCTGAGACTTAAACCCCTGACCTCCCTTTGGGAAGTAAGAGGCTGATACCGCTAGGCCATTGGCCCGTTGATATATATATATATATATATATATATATATATATCAATATAGAAATTTCTATATAGAAAATTAATAAGGAAAAAAATTAAAAAAAAAATTCTATATCTATAATCATTCCCAAATCAAATATATGTGCTTTATACATTTGCCTAATTAATTCAAATCGATTCTGGATTCGAACCATTCAAATTAATTCTCAATTCGAACCATTCAAATTACACCAGAAATCCTAATTCATCCAACTGTCCAACCTAATCAAAGAATATCTATCGTTGTGCGCCATTTGAAAAAAAAAAAAAAAAACGAGAGCTTCATTGTTCTAACCCATGCTAGTGAAAGCTCAACGACAACCTCACTCGTATACAAACGCGAAGACCCAACAATTGTGGTGTGTTTCAGCTATAGTCTTCATCTTTGTTCCGACAAAAAATGTCATTAGATGTAAAAAAAAGTCGTTTCGCAATGACATGGTTCCGTCAGATGTCGACAAGAGACGCGTGAGGGGGCAAAAACCATCACCGCAATCAAACTCGTCAAATCTGACCGTCTCTTTTCCATCGCCGTCGCAACAAACCCTCTTCTCCAGAAGACCTACATTGCCGTCGCACGAAACCCTCATCTCCATTGCCGTCACACAAAATCCTCATCACCGTCTCAACGAACCCTCATCTTCATCGCCGTCGCACCAAACCCTCATCCACCCTCTCACCAAACCCTCTTCTTCAGAACCTGAGATTTGACCTTTCCACACCAAACCCTTTTTATTCCCTTAGAATTCCTTATATTAGGGGATCTATTTCAGTCTGAATGGATGATGAAATTGATGGGTGAAGAAAGAAAAAAAATGGAAACAAAGAGATTGACAGAGGAATTTTCCCAGGAAACGACAGAGAAGAGAGAAGGAAAAAGTGTCATGGGCAAAAGTGTCATTTGCAATTCTCAAATATTTTTAACTTTTTAACGATATAATAATAAGGGTAGTTGAGTAAATTCACCTCAAAAAGAGCTCAAATCTGTCAGAGGAGAGGTCTTTGCCAAAAAATGGTAAACCTCAGGTTTACTTGCAATTAGGCCAAACCTCAGGGGAGGTCATTGTAGTTTACCCTATAAAAAAATGCTTCAACCAGAGAAGGAATTGATGGAGAAAGAGAAGATTGGATTTTCCTCCATCTGAAGTCACATGAACTGTTAAATGAATTTAAAGATGTGGTGCCAAAGGAACCCCAAAATTTGTTGCGACCCTGGAGACATATTCAGCACACCAATGAATTAGTCCTAGAAGCAGAGTTACCTAGTCCCTCACGTTATCAGTTGAATCCGAGGGAATGTGGTAAACTGCAAGGACAAGTGAAACCTTTACAGAAAGGATTCATTCCATATAGAAATGGTTCATGATTACCTATTTCCATTGTGTCAGATAAAGATATCAAGTACGCAAGTTACTTTTGGAAGACACTTTTTGAACCTTTTAGAGACCATTATAATTTATTTATTTTTTTGTCAGATTTCACCCTTCAATGTTGGGAAGACTTGGGCTGTTAAGTACTGAAGGAGATTTAGTTGTCTTGTGGGAGAGCACTTAGATTCTTGAGACATTGTTTCCCATTATGGACTTTGCTTATAGTTTGGTCAATTGGCAATTGTCTTTTATAAATCATCTATGGTATAATAAAATTATATAGTTGCTGCTAGCGAAGGAGATTATGTCATAGTTCGTCTAGACCCAAAATATTACCCTAAGAACTCCTTCTAAAAACTACATGCCCAAGTTACTGGACCTTTCTTTATCATGTATCTTAGCCTAATTCACTTGACTTGCCACGTATGAGTAATAGTGCAGTTTTCAATGTGGAGCATTTGCTGCTAATCAAGGCACCTTGAGCCTCCTATTTTTTCAGCATGTGATGATACAAATGGAGCTGCATATTCTTCTACACCAGCACCAGTTTTTCACCATTAAATATGGACAGAATCGAAGATATTGTTGACCATTAGAGTGAGGCTTTTCATCCTGGACATATTCAATTCTATCTTATTTGGTGGATAGATCATTTTGATCCAGATTTGACATGGAGTGCATGTAATAAGTTTTGCTGTATCAACTCAAACTATTTCGAGTAGCACCACTATTTTCACTCTGTAATTCTTCTTATCTGGGGAGAATTTATGGAGCTCATAATAGGTCTTATGCATTACGTGGGATTAGATGTTGGCACTAAATTTTATACCATTATATTTTAGGGTTATTTATGTATTTTTAATTTGCTTTTGGGGTTCCCTAATTCTTAGGATTTTAGTTGGTTTCTGATCAATGGCTCTTATGTCAAGAATTCTTCAGACTTTGATATCGATAATTATAGTGATTCAAATTTACAAGCCTTCGAATCAAAGAAGGCCCGAACTTTCACAGTGCTGGTAGGAACAGTGAACTGTCGAACTCGTCAGTGGTATGGGCATTGATAAAAGTTAGGAAGCACGGACAAGCCTAAAAGGTCGAAGTGTTTGTGTCGGACATAGACACATGTCGGACATGTGTTAGACGCACCAAAAAACATGTTTGAATATTTTTTGTTTTGGACACGTGACAGAACGTGAGGAACATGCTGATGACACACCTTGGCCACGCCATAGAATTAATTTTTATATTTTTTTTTAAAAAATGGGTTAAAATATATAGCATATGTGGAATTGAAAAGTTCCAATAATACGAAGGTCAAAACATAAATTAAAAGTTTTTTAAATGTAATTTATCAAGTAATTTTATTTTCTTGATCTTTTTATAGTTAGTACTTGGTTGAAATTGTAAAAGATTTCAAATAGATAAAGCAACCAAGATTCGAACTTACTTCAATGGATCATCGAAGCTTGATTGCTGGTGATCCTTCTTATCCTTCAGTAGATCCTCTTTCTCAATCTTCTTTTTTTTCCTTTTCTTTTTGTCCTCTTCTTCCCATCTCAAACCTCTTTTTTCCTCCATAGGTTCTCTTTTATTATCAACACGGAGTTAATTTTTTCAACAGCACCTTAGTCTCCTTATTTATTTATTTATTTATTTTCGTTCTATAACCAGTTCTCTCTCTGCTAGTAGAATTCTCTTTCCTTTTATTCAAGAAAGCTGTCATTTAGTAAGGGTTTAGAAATTATACTTTAGCCAAATCCCCCACTCTCTCCCTCTTCTTTTTCTGTTCTCTTTTCTTTCATTCTATATACAACTGTAATATTTTGTTTAGCTATGAATTTAGATTACAACAAATTTTATTAAGGGAGTTCAAAATTTTTACTTAAGCCCATTCTCTCTTCTTAAATGAAGAATTGTTGTACTTCATTAGTTATTGTGGTATGAAAATTTGATGAAAAGTAATATTAGTCTTATAATTTTATTATTCGCCGTTTTTTTGTCTTAATTATTAGGATTTTCCATGTTGCCGTGTCCATGTCACGTTTCCATATCTGTATCCATGCTTCTTAGGATGCAAGTACCCAATTCCTTGTAACACAATGGTCTAGCTAAACTTGGATTTGTCAATAACTCAGTGCATTAATTTAGCTGCATTGGTTCATTCCTCAACCGTATTAGCTCTTGCCATGCTATGTAACCCGAAGTTGAAAAACTTAAACAACCATGAAAAATATATTTTATGTGATTTATGCTGTTTAAATTGGTAAAAGTATCATTGCTTGCATTCAAGGAAAAAAAGAAGAAGAAAAAAGTTTACTTGCTTATAGATTAGATTGCTTCGCTCATTTTCTAGACTTCATTCTCACTTTTCTACCGTGCTTGTTTATCATAGTTTGCTTTATATTTATAGTAAATCATCCTCTCTATTCAGGGGAAAAAAATTATCCTCTCTCTTTTTCAGAATAATGATTTTTACCATCGTTTACGATATAATGACAATTTAACGGCCATTTGTTTCTAATAATTTGTTGATAAAGTTATGAGATTGGGAATTGTTAGGTTATTTTAATGCATTCTTTCCTTTTCTAGTAAACTTAAATAACTTTATGGGTTGTTTTGTAGACCAAATGGTGTCCTGCTCCAGGCTGTGATTATGCCTTGGATTTTAGTGCCGGTACCGGAAGCTACGATGTTACTTGTCGATGCTCGCATAGCTTTTGCTGGAATGTAAGTCTCATTGATTTGTCTTCAAATTTTCGTAGTTCTTTTCATTTTCCATTTCTATCTATGGATAATGTGATTTTCTTTAATTTATGCTATTTTGATGTGATTCTGTGTATGCAGTGTACAGAGGAAATGCACCGTCCGGTTGATTGTGGCACTGTGGCCAAGTGGGTTCTGAAGAATAGTGCCGAGTCGGAAAACATGAATTGGTATTCTTCATGACCATATTGTCGTCGTCTTCTTTTTTTTCTTAACTGGTCGCCAGGAAAAGTTATCAAAACTGAAATAGTAGTAAACAAAAGGAGTCATCATTGGAACTATAGGATATCGGAAGAAAATTAGTGGCATAGGATGGAAGAACATAGGCATGATTACACTAGACATTGCAGAATATTGAGAATCAACCGTATCATATTAGTCTTGGAAGGAGGAGAGCTCTTTCAATCAGGTGGTGGTCAATCATTGTTATATGTGCTTGTGTGATGAGGAGACAGTTGACCACCTTCTTTTGCACTGTAGCATGGCCAGAGACTGTTGGAATTTGATGCTTGGATTATTTGGGGTCCATTGGGTTATGCCTCGTTCCTCTAGAGGGTTGATCGAGGCTTGGAGAGGTGTCTCTGTTGAGGTTCTCATTCAAGATGCTTGGAGGTCTACACCTCCTTGTATTTGGTGGTGCATTTGGCTCGAGCGAAATAGGAGATATTTTGATGGAAAGAAGAAACCTATTTCTATGCTTAAGTTCTCTATTATTTCCACTATTTTTTGTTAGGTTTCAGGGAGAGATTATAGATCTATTGAGGAGATTATTGTCTTTTTGGCCTCTTTGAAGGTTTAAGGCGCCTTGTGGCCCTTGTGTTTCTTTGGGTTCGGCTCCCCTTTTGAGCGTTTTTAATAAAATCTTGCTTATCAAAAAAAAAAAAGTGCAGTTATCATATTTGGCAAACTTTGAGCCCAAAACATACAAAATCTTGATCAATATTTCTAATGAAGGTTGGTTGCAGTAGGACATTTGGATATTTTATTAAAATGGGAGAATGTGTACTTTTTGAGACTTTCTAGAATTTAGAGACTCGGGATAGCGTTGTTCAGAACCAATTTTGACTTGCTAGCTGTAATGTCAAATAGGTGTGTAAATTCGGCGAGCCAACCCGAACCCAACCCAAGTCAAGCCTGATTTTTTACAAGCTTGGGCAACTATTTTTACAATTAGGTTGGGCTTGGGTTGCCCGAACTGAATTAGGGTTTAGCAACCGGAACCCGAACCCAAATCTGCATTCTAATATTAATTTTTATGTAGTCTTTAATTTTAAGGACAAAACTTACCTACTCACCGGTAAGTCGGTTGTCCCTACTGACTGCTGCTGTGGTACAATCACAAATTCACATGTAGGATGCAATTACAAAATTAGGAAAGTGATAAATAAGGACAATAACTTTTTTTTGGAATAAATTCAATCACCCTCTCTGATTTTCTTATGCAATTACAAAACTTAATGTAATTTTAATAAGCCATATATATTTCAAATTATGATCATTCTTTTCTTTTCAACTTCCTTTTGTTTGAGTCTTGCTATCTTGTATATTAATACTTTGGAGAATTAATTCCCTAAGAACTTGTTTGTAAATTTTTGGAAATTACATTAAGTTTTTTGAATTTTTTTATGTTTAGGAGTAATCTAATTTGAATCTAACCTGAGATTAACTTAATTTTTAGCCTGATTTCTCTAACCTGAGCTCAAATTGAAAATGAAAATCTGAACGTGGATTTCTCTACACATACATGCATGTAGTGCAAGTCCCTTTTCTGTAAAAACTGATTTATTGTGAAAATTTGATCCAATTTGATTGGATTAGATACAAACCCGACCATATAGGACTCTTGTTAGCTCTTCCTAACCTGAGGTTAGGTTCAACCTGGGCTTGGGCAGCATTGCTCATAGGGCAGTTGGGCTAAGGTTGATCCTTCTACCCATTCGAGTTGCACCCCTAATGTCAACCAACATTTTATTTTCAACCGGTTCATGTTTGTAAGCAGTTAGGTTTTCACTGTCTTAGAATTTTTTATATTTAGCTGCAACTTGATACCATGTCTTTCTAAAGTATATATATTTATTTTAAATTAGGTTATGCTTTATGGTGTTTATGTGCTTCATCAATTTATTTTTGGTGAAATATTTTCCTTTTCCTCCTTTTGCTTCTTTTATTGTTTTTTAAGGCACTTTATAATATTGTTCATTAACCCATAAAATTCAAGTATAAGATATACTTATCAAAAAAAAAAATTCAAGTATAAAATATAAAAGTAGATGAGAGTGCAATCGAAGTTTTGATTGGTCATATATATACAAGTATATGTCTGTTCATGTATGGTTAATCAAATCAGTGATGAGAGCAGGAGGTAACCATGTATGATCTGCAAAGTTCATGGCCTAAAACCCATGGATTGCACTACATCCGACAATTATGACACTTTTATATTGAAAGGCGAAGAAATCCAAAAACAGGACCACTAGATCCATAATCATTGATCCAACATCTCAATACTTGGGACGAAAGATTTGTATGAACTACATTTCTATAGACAAATCAGGAGGAATTTGATGATGATCTGTAGTGTGGTTTGGTTTATCCATCTTCATAGACATCAGCTCCCTTCGATTTTTTGAATTGACTTAAGCTTCTTGGTGATGATGAGGTTGGAATATCTAAGCCGACAATGGATTGTGGTTTTTTTTTTTTTTTTTTTTTTTTTTTTTTTTTTTTTTTTTTTTTTTTTTTTTCCCAGTTGGGAAACTCACACACACTGCCTCCACTGAGGCTCGAACCCCTGACCTCCCTTTGGGAAGTAGGAGCCTTGTACCGCTAAGCCACAGGCCTGTTGGTGACGGAATGTACTTATAAAAAAAATAATAATAATCTTTTCAATGGAACATATTTAGCTATGCTTTGTAGTGCTTTCTTCTTTTTTAATTTTTCTATAAAAAACAGTAAGAAACAAGAGATTATATTAATTTAAAGGAATGACAAAGATACAAGGAAAAGTGAACCTCGTTGGTTGAGTCTGGACTCTGGAACTATGTAAGCTTAACATGATTTTTGCCAATCTAGACAAGCTCTAAGTATATGAAATTCTAAACAGTGTTTGACTAATAAAACAAATTAGCTGTGTCTAACTGCTTGCTAGTGAAATTATATTTTGCAATTTTAGATGGAATTTAGAATTGTTTTTTTTTTTTTAGTTGTTGAAGCTAATGTTGTGATAAAATACTTCTTAACCAAGCAATGTAGAAAAAGAATAAAAATAGTTAAATAAAAATCTGATAGAACCTATGATGCGGTGATACCTTCTATAAGGGAGTCGTATTTGTATCGGATATCAATATCCCTCAGATACTTACAGTTTTGTGCCCGACTTCCTAAACATATCCATCATTTGAATTTTTTATTTCTTATTTATTTTGGACACGTATATGATATTTGCGATATTCTCAAGTCTTTGGCCTTGTATAAAATACTTCTCGTATACTTCGGGACACATGTATAAACGTGACTTATCTACATATAATAGTATAATTGTTACAAATTGCGTTGGAGGTTTAAACTTAAAATGGCTAAATTAGCTATTTCTCCTCTTTCATCTTATTCTCATATGGGGACAACAATTGATGCCAAATGTTATGGCATTAGTTACTTGGGTGGTCAGTACTTTTACCAATCATTAGATGCTAATCATAGAATATAAGATTGAGCTCTTCTTTGTAATCCTTTCATTTGATAGTGCTTTATCTATTTTTTGTGGATAGTTTTGGGTTGCTACTAGTGTTCTTTTTTCCCATAACCTTAGAAGATATTACATATATATGGGTATGTATAAAATTTCCTTGTATATATGAATGGAAAGCATATTAGGAATTCTAAATTTTCTGGTGCACAAACGCTGTGGCTTTTGTTTTGTTATTTTTATAGCTTTTGTTCCTACTTTGTTTTTGTAGACATACTATATTAATCCTCCTAATTATAGCGTCTACCAACTCTATTTCCTTACCCGTCAATTTTCCTATATTCCAAGTCCCTATTTTAAGCCTACAATCCTAGGATAGGGCTTTCCTCTATTTTAAGTAGCCTATCCTATGGTAAAATACTTCCATGATGTATTTTATTACAGTTTTTTGATTGACAAATGGATCAAATGGTATAGTTAATTCCCAGGTAGATTGGAGGATTAGAAGCATGACTATTGCTTTCCAATGGCTGTCTTTGCTTAATTGATCAGCATAACTGTATTTGGTAAAGAATTGGAGGTTTGTTGCAAATACTATGTTGGCTCATTATTGCCGAGATAATGGTCTACATCTTCACTTCCACGTGCAATGCATGCAATTTTTACACTTAGTATAGGGACTTTTAATATAGGGACACTGATAGGTGATGGAATGGATTTGTTGGACACTATGATTCAACCTCTTATGTTTTCTGTTGAAGTCAATCCTATAGAGGTACTCAAATTGGATCAGTGATAGATTTCAAGGTTTCGTCGTAAACCTAATTGGTTATTTCCAATTACGTAAATCAATAGTTCAAATCACACTCAAAGGTAAGGGCATTTCCCATTTTTATATGAACTTCTGTACCAGAAACAGTGGTATCTCCAATTATAACCCCTCTGGGTTGTAAATTATATCTCTTCTCACCATCCCCATAGTGTACGAGACAAATGTATGCATTTTGATTAGGGTCTTATTCTATTGAAGGAGGGTTAATATAGTATGTCCACAAGAAACTGGCTTAATATAGTATGTCTACAAGAAACTAAGAAGAAAAGTAGGATAAATTTAGAACACTGGATATAAACTTTCTTATACTAGAAAAGATAGACAAAGTAATGGAGTAGGGATATTCATTGATGTTGAAAGAGAGAGAGAGAGAGAATATATGAAAACTTATATGTTATTGAGTGAGTAATACAATAATACAATAGTGTTTATATAGGAGAAGCTACTGGAGTAGGTGAGAGGAGAACAAGAAAACCCTATACCTCGTAATTCTATATATGGTAATGAGGGGTAGGTGACAACTCATACAATACTAAATGTACATATGTGACAACTCATACAATACTGTACAACACTCCCCCTCAAGCTGGAGAATAAATGTCAGTAACTCCCAGCTAGCTACATATGGAATCAATAGAGTTCTTGGGAAGCGC